CGTATTAATCTCTTGCTCTCTGTCCCTATTATATAATATTGAAAAGGCTGAAACCCGTAGGTCTATGCAAAATATTTCCAACTGTGTAAGACACAGGAAGCAGGTTTGAATTATAGAAGTTTGCTGAATTACAGATGTTAAAATATTCCCCAAATATTAGTCCTCCAAAGCTATTTGCTTAAGAAAATATTTTATTTAATGTGTGCAATCATCTCTGTATTTGTGAAGCATTTTTGTCAAAAAGTATGTCTAAATAGTAAATATGGACACAAATCCTATTAGACACTTATAAGAAATGTAAAATTTTTATAAGATAAGAATTTGCCATGAATATGCAATAATGGCTTTCAGTTCTTTTGTTGCTGTTTTTATAATCATCTGCAAATCTATTTGGTTGCCTCATTTATATTGCTTATTTTGTATAAGTTTAAAGACTGTTTCCCCTTTTCTTCCTTGACCTATGTTTTTAGAGCAAAATTCTATTATTAGAGTCATGTTGGAGGGGGCAGAAAAACAAAGAACGTCTTTTCTCAGCACAGGTTCTCATTCATCAGTTTGGGTGGGAATTCCATTGGAAATCAATAAACAGAGAACACAAAACTTTCAAAACTTGTCAGCTAAATGGTTTGTGGAGCTAGGGAGCTTAGAAAAATCACCCAATTTATGAACATTGGATTAAGTGAGTGAACTGTAGTATGATCAATTCCAAATATATCCTACATGGATTACTTGTCTAACAATTTGTTCTAACTTTTTATTCCATTGTCCTCTGCACATGATTTTTTCATTTTCCATCAAATAGTAAGTAATAACATCAGAGGCTATGGACACAAATTATATATCAATTCTTCTTATAGAGTAGGACAACTGTAAATTTGAAGAATATATCACATTCATTTCATTATCCAATCATCAATACTTGAAAAAGCATTAGTTCAAGAATATTGCTAGGAGAACAAAAGAACTGGTAGTGAGAGGCAGGTCAAGAATATTTACTTTTTGTCTCAAGAATGCTAACAAAATTATCTTTAAATCTAGATTGGAAAGAATTAGTACATTTTAAAATTTTACTTGTCCATGGTAAATATTCAATAAATTTTTTTGGAATTAAGGGATACATAAATCAAATAGGTTAGTAGAATTCTTTTTTTTTCAGTTTTCAGTTTTATTAGGTAGAATTGGTACAATTTGACTGCATTTATACAATATATTGCATGTAAATACACATACACGATACACTGCACATATTTTTTTAAAATTTACATTTGTGTACTGTTCATTGTTTCTAAGAACATTAAGAGCTTTAGCTGTTTAAACTTACATAGTTATCAAAGGAATAAAGCCAACCACAAATTAAGAATTAATTCAAATATACATGCATCTTGTTATTAACAGAAACACTATTAATAATTGCCAAGATATGGAAGCATCTAAGTGCATATCAATAGATGAATGGATAAAGAAGATGCAGCATATATACAGAATAGAATACAACTCACCCATAAAAAATAAGGATATTTTGTGATTTGCAGCCCTTCATTCACTTTTTTTTTTCTCTTCAAAATCCAGAATTTTATAACTGGCATAAACATGTCCACTGCATCAAAAACAGCAAAATACCTAGAAATAAACATAACCAAAGAGGTTACCTATGCTCTGAAAACAGTAGAACATTGATGAAGGAGATTTAAGATGATACAAAGAAATGGAAAGGTATCTTGTACTCTCAGATTAGAACAATCAACATTATCAAAATAGCCACACTACCCAAAGCAATCTACAGATCCAATGCAACCCCTGTCAAGATGCTCATGATATTCTTCACAGAACTAGAACAAACAATTCCAAAATTTATATGGAACCATAAAAGACCCTGAATTGCCAAAGCCATCTTTTGTAGGTCTCTCTTTCTCTCTTTTTCTTCTTTTTGTTCTCTTTTCTTATGGTTTGATGACTAGAGAAGTTTTTTTAACATCTGCTGGAATGCTGGTTTGGTGGTGGTGAATTCTTTTAGCTTCTGTTTATCAGTGAAGCTTTTGATTTCTCCATCAAATCTGAACAAGAGCCTCGCTGGATAGAGTATTCTTGGTTGTAAGTTTTTTCCCTTCATCACTTTAAATATATCATGCCACTCCCTTCTGGCCTGTAGAGTTTCTGCTGAAAAATCAGCTGATAACCTTATAGGAGTTTGCTTGTATGTTATTTGTGGCTTTTCTCCTGTAATTTTAATATTTCTTCTTACTCTTAATTTTTCTCAATTTGATTATTATGTGCCTTGGTGTGTTCTTCCTGTGTGGAACTCTCAGTGTTTCCTGGATTTGGGTGACTATTTCCTTTCCCAAATTGGGAACGTTTCTGGTTATCTCTCAAAAATTTTCTCAGGTTCTTTCTCTCTATATTCTCTTTATGGGACCGCTATAATGGGGATATTAGTACTCTTCATGTTATCCCAGAGTTCTCTTAAACTATCCTCATTTCTTTTCATTCTTTTTTTTAAATTTTTTTTCTATTCTGCAGTAGTGATTTCCACTAATCTGCCTTCTAACTCATTGTTCCATTCTTCAGCCTCATTTAGTGTATTTTTGGTCCCTTCTAGTGTGTTATTCATTTCAGTGATTTTATTCTTCAGCTCTATTTGGGTATTCTTCATATTTTCCAGCTCTTTGCTAAAAACTTTGCTCTGTGCATCTATACTCAGCTTGAGTTTTCTGTACATCTTCACCACCATTACTCTGAACTCTTTCTCAGATAGATTGCTTATCTCCTCATCACTTATTTCTTCTTCTGGGATTTTATCTTGTACCTTGGCCTGGAAGATATACCTCTGCTGCCTCATATTGTCTATCTTTCTACTTGTAGTTTTAGATAGGTTGGTTAAGTTTCTTGATCTTGCAGAGGTAGACCTCTGTGGGAGATGTCCTATATGTCCCACCAGTGCACTCCTCTCTTGTGATTAAAGGGCCAGGGTTCAGCCAGTCCCAGTGTAGAATCTGGCCTATGATTGTGGATTCCTTCCATAGGCTTTGAGATTGTTGTTTTCTTATTTCTGGTATCTGCCCCTGGTGGATGAGGCTGGACTAGAGGCTTTCTGGCAGGAGGAGCTTGTCCCTGCCCACTGCTGGGTGAAGCTTGGTCCTGGACCTCTTGTGGGTAAGGCCATGTCAAAAGGCATTATGGCTGATTAGTGGGGCTGTGTTCCCACTCAGTATGTTGTTTGGCCTGAGGCTCCCCAGCCATTAAGCTCACAGGCTGTTGTGTGTGGCCAGATCTTGGTGCTTATGATCTAATCAAGATGTCAGGCTCCAGGAAAGCTCGTGAAGGTGAACACTCCCAGAATGTCTGCCACCAGCTTTTATGTCCCTGGATGAGCCACAGCTGTCCTCCCATGTCCCCAGGAGAACTTCCAAAACTCAGCAGGCAGGCCTGGCCCAGGCCCCTTTGAAATTGTTGCCTCTGCCCTTGTGCCTGGTACATGTGAAATTCTGTGTGTATTTCCCAAGAGAATGAAGTCTCTGTTTCCCCCAGTCCCATGGGGCTCCTGGAGCTATGCCCCATTGACCTTCAAAACCAGATGTCCTGGGGTCTCCTCCTCCTCTGATGCTGGAGCCCCAGGCTGGGGACCCTGATGTGGGGCTCAGAACTCTCACCCCAGGGGAGGGCCTCTGAGACTTAATTATTCTTCAGCTTGTGGGTCACCCACCTGGCAGGTATGGGGCCCGATTATACTGTGAACATGCCTCTCCTACCATCCTGTTGTGGTTCCTGCTTTATGTTTCCAGTTGAAGATCTTTTATGTTAGGTTCCAGTCTTTTTTTCAATGGTTGTTTAGCAGTTAGTTGTGTTTTCTCGTAGTCTCAAGGAGAGGGGAGTTCATGGTCCTACCACTCTGCCTACTTGACTGGAAATCCCAGAATTCTAAATTTTAGGAAGAAACAAAGAAATGTGAATCACCCTAATGATTTATATAAATATGCATATGAAAGTATCAACCAAAGATAGTTTAGAGCATTAAAAAAACATAATTATATTAAATAATTTCAGTAAATATTTTGTTTGTGAATTATAAACTTTAAATCTGATTTTACTCTTAAAATTGTGTTTAATACAAGAAAGGAACTGAAGGGATAAGTAATTATTAATTTACATACATGTATATGACATTATAGTAAGTACAAAATCATGTTTCAGTTTTATTATAAGGAAAAAGTAAACTATTAAAATAAGATAAATGTACCCACTTGACCCATAGATTTACTGAGAGTAAAATTATATATTAATTCCAAGATTTCTTTGTGGTACTAATAAACATATTGAATATGTATTTTCTGTCCTCTTCCTTTTTTATCATTTATTCTCTTAACATATACCTTAAGGCCACACAAATTATTTTTATTATTTCTCAAATCCTTTTGGTTGTTAATTTACTCTCAGTTGAATAAAACAAATGACTTTTAAGTATCCTAATTATTAGATCAAAATATTTTTTCTCAAAGGTATTGTGTTACATTTAACCTGTGTACAATAACATGTACTTTTAAACTATCACCTTTAACCATGTGGTAAATTTTAAGGGAGTGTTAGTATAGTAGAGTAAGGAAAATAATCCCTATTTTTATCATTCATTCTCCCAAAAGAGAAAAGAGAAAAAATATTCACAGACACACAAGCTTATACATACTCACCCTCATGGCATTGCTTCATTAATTGTTAGCAGCCATCTTTTGAAATTTTTTTCTCCTAGAAGTCATGATCACATAATTCATTCCTATTATAAAATGGCTTAAACTTGAAAAAAAGTCAGTTTATTGCTACATAATATAAAGATCTTTAATCTATTTATTTATATATAACCTGCTTTAATCTAGAAAAGATGTAAGGTTAACGATTGCTTAGTTCCTTTTAATACAGTGGCCTAAAGTTTGAGATATAAATATCAACAACACATTTATCATTCTGAACATATTTTAAAATCTTGGTTTAGGCTGTGTTGTCTTTCTGTAATATTTGCTATGTGAATATGTCATGTTATAAATTAATCACATGAGTTGCTAATTATATAACTTTTTAGTGCTTGCAGTTATTACATCCTTCATTTAATTCTCCTTTATAGCTAAAGATTTATTTCATAGTATTTGATCCATTGGCTTGATGTCATACTTAGCCTAACTCAATATCCCTATAAAGGAATCCAGGAAAGGATGCAGGGGGACCTTACAGAGTTCAAGAGCTTCCATAGAAATATAAAAATGACAGAATAATGATTTAAAAATTAAACTAATTAGAAGAGGGAAATATTTTCAAAAGTTAGTAGGATCAGACAGCTGTATGCTAAACAGAAAGAGGGACACACTATCTCTTTCAAGCAATAGCTGCGAAAAATAAAATACTAAGGGAAAATGTTCATTTGATAGAAAAGATGAGGGGATGAATGTAGCACACTGTTCAGTTGTGTCCTGTGGGTCTTCATGTCCACTGGGCTCCTTTTTATATTATCTGTCTCATTCAACAACTTGAAGCTCAAAAGAGAGCGAGTTGAGAAGTTTAAATTCAGGATGAAAGACAGAAAGTCTGTGTTTCATTTTTCCAATTTCCAGTGCTCCAATGGGAGAAAGAGGAGAAGAATTATGTCCTTCCCTGGGAAGCAGGGAAGTAGGAATTACATAATTAAGTACCATTAACCTTGGTCTTAACAATAGAATAGGAGAGTTAGAATGCTAAAATGTGTCAAAACTATTTTATTAAAAATGTTTTTATATCAAACTATTTTATATACTATAATCATTCAATTGTGTTGACTATCTACAGACCAGTAGGAATAATATGCTTCCACATACCCTTTGATATGTTTTTTCCACATTTATGAATTTTTTTCTGTATCATTTATGAATGATATGTTTTTTCGTCTCCATATCTATGAATGGATGTGGAAAAAAACAATTTAGATGTCACAACACTTGATCAAAATTCATGTATGTCACACTCAATATCTGTTTATTAAATAAGGCATTTTTAATTTTCATTACATATCTGTTATAGTCTATCAGTTTTCACGTGGAGTAGCTAATCTTTCTTAATGCTTATGATATAAATTCATTCTTAAAAAGACAATTAATGGTTATATCTGCATCATAATACATCATCAGCATCGTCATCATTATTATTTAAATTCACTTTTAGTGAATATGCAGGATATTGCTCAGCATACAGCATATTTTATATAAGGAAAAGAAAAACTATGTATACAGGCAGAATCTAAACTTTATGATTTTGTAGCTTCGTTGTGAGCAGACTGACATCACGTTCAAAGAGCAGAGGTGACGGTGACCTAATAACGATACCAGATGTCATTTCAGTGTATGACTCCTAGCTGTCCAAGGAATATTAATAATGCAATGTCAGTACTCATATAAATATTTGACATACTAACTTTAATTTGTTATAATTGTTACTTAAGGAGTGAAGCTTATACACTGAGAGGAAAAATTTTTTGAAAAAGAGTTTGATATAAAGAAGGAGTTTACATTCTGCTCTGATAACTGGTTGAGTGTGTACCATAATTTTGACCTTACTTGGGGAACAGTATAGTATGTCAGAAACTTTCTTATTTTAATTGTCCATCCATATCAATCCAGAAATTCATTTTTTAATCAGTTTTTCCCCCACAGGAGGAACAAAACTGATAATCTAAAATGTACATGCCCTTGATTTCTTTTCAAACAAGCATTAATCTCAACCATTCTCACAAAACACGATTCGCTGATTTTCTTTGACAATTTACATTCAAAATTGTAAACATTTAAATAACATGCAATTAATTGTAGGGATTTGTTTACACAGTTACATCAAATGGAATTTTAAAAGTGAATACATTATTGTTTTATATTCCAGAACCTTCATACATTTTATTTCTTCTGCCTGGACTATTACATGCCACTATTCGCAAAACAGCACCTTTTTTCTTTTTTATGACCAAAATATTGTATCAGTTTCTCAGAGGAAAAATTTGAACCATTCAATTTAAAATAATCCAACCCCATTTGTTTAACACAGAACTTACCACTGCAGTCTGGTAAATCGTGTGTATTTTGTTCCCAGCATGTGATAGATATTCAATAAACACTGATGAATGATAAATCTATACTTGGATAAAGAAATACTCTATTTGAATACTATTGCATCAAGGAAAACCTTGAGACCATGTGATCTGCAAGCATTTCATAGATCAGGAAGAAGAAAATTTCTTTTATAGGGAGGGGTAAAGAAGACAGTAAGTACCGGGTATTTGAGAGTCAATGGAAGGGGGACCGATAGTACAGTTAAGCAGGAAATGTCTTTCTTGGAGATTACCAGATTCTTGACAGTGGTTGTTAGGACAGATTGTTCCCTATTTAGATACTGACACAGGCTGATGATGGTTCAAACTTCTGGGCCCTGAGAGAAGTAGAGAAAATTAACTAAAGTTGGTCCAAACAAATTAACAAGTTGACTTTGATGAGGTTGATCAGTTTGTACAAGTAGCTAATCACTTATGAGATAAAGGATAGGCATTTGGAAAGTCTATATCTCACTTTGCCATAGGTAAATGAAGGAGGCATGTGTGAGTCTATGTAAGTTGTACCAGGAAGGGGGTTCTTCACAGTGAGTCATATCCTGAAACCCAAAAGGGTGAGGCAATTTCTTAACCATTACTGCTTTCTGGGAAGGAGCACAGGGCTCATGTGAAGTTTACCACTGCCAAAAGAAGTAACTGAATGCATATTGCTGTAGTATATTTAATATGATATATATGACTATATATAAATCTACATATGTAGTTATATCTTCATGTATTATTTTGATATTGACATGGTTATTTATTTTTCTTTCTATATAAATATGAGCTTATCAGTGATTCTTAACATGTCTAATTGTGCAAGGTTAATCCATATATTGTAGAGTGTTTATTATCTTTGGTTTGTTACCCTTAGTGTATAATGATAATGAAAATCACCCTCCACCCCATACTTTCAAATGCCCATTACCAGAGCAGTTCTGGTTCTAGCTGAGAAACATTGGGATACATATGTCATGATTGTTTTATAGATTCCAAATCCTAATGCTACATTTCAATAATATTATACATTTATTCTCACATGAATATGTGTTGCTAAACTGCATTTGTTAAATATGTAAGTACCAGAAAAATACTTGTTTTATTCTATGAGATCCTTCCCAACATTAGCAACTATCTAAGCCAATCATGGAACAAAAATTCCTTTTACATTGCCAGCTATAGGCTTCCTCCTGGAGAATGAGACAACAGGGAAGTCATCTGAGAAGTTTTTGAAAAGGGATTTATTGTTCATTAGTAAAAGACAAATAAATATATGAAAACTTTGATTTAATCTGGGCACTTTCAAAGGTGAATATAATGTGTGACTAAATTAGTTCATGGAGAAATCATATTCTAAGGAATTATAGAGAAGAGTATAATAATTCTGATACATCATTCCTAGAGTTAGGCTTTCTTCTGAACCTCTCATGCAAGGAAATAACTTCATTACTTAAGCAAGTCTGAGTTAGGGATTTTGTTGCTAGTAGGCAAAAGACATCTTGGTGATATACTATACTTTCATTTAAAGCCAATAAATTCCAAAGAATTATATTTCTACCATTTCTAAAAAAAATCATGAACATGTTATAAACTCACTTTTTCTAGTTAAAAATGAATGTCTCTTAAGAATAATAACATAGATTAATAATTTTAAAAATGAAGAAAATGTTGACTAAGTAAAAATATCCCTAATGAGAAAATTAAAGTCATGCCTACTTACTGATAAGAGTTGATGAAAAGATTTTTTAGTAGTCAGGTTAGTGAGTCAATATTGGGTGTACACTTAATGAACATGGAAAATGTTAAATTAAATATTAGCCACTTTTTTGTGCTATGCCTAACTTTATTTTTATACTGCATATCTATGTGGAAAATTAACAATAATTATGTTTTATTAAAAATTCTCCCAGATAAACTTGTGCACACAGAAATGCTAAGATAGTGGAACAAATAACATGCAATGGTTGATGAAAGAGAGGAGGGAAGTAATTTAGGAAATATTAGGACCTGAAGTGACTGGCTAGCTGACACTAACTGCTACTTTATTAAACTTCAAGATGGGAAAATAAAACCCAAGTCCTGAAAAATATAAGTAATAGAGAATTATTCACATGAAATAGGAGATAATGAAAGGGACAGATACATCAAGCTATTCAGTCAAGAAAATGTCCTGAAAACCTAATGTGCTGCAGGTACTATTATGTATCCTGAGGGTACAGCAATTAAAAAAAAAAGAGACACAGAAAGTCACTTATTCTCTTATAGAATTTATATTTTGTGATAGTTATCCCTAACATTCATTCATTCTTTCTTTTTCTTACTAAGAGAATTCCCCAGTTTATCAGAACACATTGTTGCCTACCTACAGAAGAGTTTATCATCCTCCCTTACAGCAGCATGTGAAACATTTGAGTCTTCTCCTTAAAGATAAATCATACACCCTGGACTACATTTTCTCCATTCTTGCTGATTGAGAGATGGCAAGACCGCTGCTTTGAACTTAGAGAGGGATGCAACATGTTGAGGAAACTAGAACCAACTTCCTAGCTCTATTCACTCCATAACCTTTTGGAGCTGAATTTCTCTAAGTCCAGAACCAATCTAATCTATATTACTTTGTGAAAAAAAGTAGTTTTCTCTTATTTAAACCATAGAATTTTTGAGAATATGTTAGTCTTGCTTGTACTCTTATTAACAAATACATATTTCCTAGAAAATCATGCTTACAAATAACATTAGTGAAATCATCAGCAAGCATGGGAAGATGGACCATTGGATAGAGTGTGTCTGTGCGTATGTGTGTGTGTGTGTTGAAATAATATGGGTGAACCAACTGAAGAATGGAGTGGACAAATAATTTTATCTACCTTTCCAAGTGAGATAAATTGATGCTAATTTGTCTAAATTACTGAATTAGAAAGAATGTGAAAAAATGTTCATATTCCATAAGCATCATTACTATATCATGTGCTCCTTACAACACAACTGGAATTGGAGAGTGGTACAATGTATGCAATGTATTTTCAAATGTTAATCTACAATTGGAAATAAATGTCATAGTAAATCAATCATGAGATTTTGGTAAAATTAAATGAGATGTTAACATTTCTCTTTATGCCATAGAACTCACATACATTTTGTCAGAATTCTGTTGCAAAGTACTTAAGATGTTTTATGCTTTCTAGTGGCAAATGAGATAAAAAAATCTGGAATAACTTTACCCTGCAAGTTAGATATATTGCATGTTTTTTAATTCTATATAAAAATTTGAAAATGGCATTTTGCTTGCTTTTGCAGAGCAGCCAAATAGGAAGTGTGTTTGAATAAGCAAATTAAAAATTGTATTCAGACTATATCCTTTCAAAGAAAGTGAATGAAACAGATGCAATATGTTCTCTTTCTTGTTTCAGAAAAATAAATAGCAACCAATAAAACTTCCATTTCACATTTTTAAAAAGTAATCAAGGTCATAATTTTCAATTTTATATCCAAGACACATTATTAAATTAGTAAAAGACCAATGACCTATTAAAACCCTGGCAAATATATACTTAATAAAAAGAAGACCAATTTAGTTGAAGAATAATGTGATACATAACTTAAACATTTTATTTGCATTGTACTTTAGATCAACCTTAACATATTAAATGTCCCATGGTGTTCTCTTGATGTGAAAATAAAAAAAATGACCCCAAAGACTTAGATTCTCCCTTCTTAATGTAGAGCTGTTTCCAGTTCATGGCTGTTCAGTCATGTCTATATTTTCCAAACCTCTGTCAGATAGTAATAGTTAAACAGTTCAGTCAGTTGAGAAGATGACAAAAAACTAATGCAAATAATTTGAATGCTAAAAATTGGAGAGGATACTGAATTAGTAATATTTGATCATTTAGTTATAAGCAATCACATAAACTTTTGCCTTAGTAGACTTTTCTGGTTCATTGTATATATTTTATAAAGAAAGAAAGATGAAAGGAAGGAAGTAAGAAAAGATGGAAGAAGAGGAAGAAAGAGGTAGAGGAAAAAGAAAGTGAATTAAACCTCCCTTTGGAAATAGGAAAGTTGGAAATATCACATAGTCTGTATTTTGTTCTATTCTCTTACTACTAGAAAGTGGAATTATCTGACTGCATTGCTTCAGGTAAAACACTTAACCAGTTTGAGCCAGTAGTTCTGCCTCGAGTGTTTTAGCCATGGCTTTGGAAACAACTAGGCTTGTGAAAGAAAAAGATTAGAGTGGACTGGAATTGAGGTCTATTACCATTTTCTTGCTATTCTGCCCCTTAAACAACAACTTCTCTTCTATCCTCCTCTCAATTTTCAAGTAAATCCTTAAATTTCCCCAAATACCTTTGATCTGGCTTGTACAAGAACCTGGAGAGCAGTTTGGAGCACTCCAGTGAAGACTAAAATGCAGCCAATTCTGGTAAACTATGGGATTAGAGATCTGTGGACTCCATTATTAGAGTGATCTGTGTAAGTTATTCAAACTATAGAACTGTTGGAGGAAAGGTGGTAATTAAGTCAATAGAAAAAAAATTCCCTCTGCTGAGGACCTTGGTTAGCAGACTAGGAATCCACAGAATTCTGGGTCAGAATAACAAGAAAAAAAAAAAGTTATCCATATGTTTCCTGGTAAAATTAATTAATTAAGAGAAAATTTTCTAACTCTCATATGGAAAACACACACACAAAAAAGACTGCCTAAGATGATGATGATGATGATGATGATGATGATGATGATGATGATGATTTTAAATTTTAGGTACTAAAAGCAAAAAAAAGAGTAGTCTGTATGTACAGATTGCCAAGGAGTAAGCTTTGTGACTCTTATGAAATAAGCTACCTTTTGGGGAACAAACCTGAAAGTATGAAAAACTTGATATGGATCTTGAGGATATTAGAAATACTGCATTCTCATTATCATTTCATCTGATGGCTTGCCTTACACTACCAGTAAAATTTGGCTTTGATTTTTCTTAATTCTGGCTAACATTTCAGATTCCTGTCCCACCCCTATCTTATTTTAGAATCAATAGAGAGTGAACTCAATCTATTTTCTGTCTAAAAATAAAAAGAATTTGAATAACCTTCTGTGTAAACCTATCATTATCTCCATTTGACTAGCAACTTAATTAAGTAGTAGGATATGTTGCTGTAAATAGTATTATTAACACCACAGGTTTTTCATATTTCTGTTTTCTCACTTTGCAATTGATAAATGCAACTGAAAGTTAATATTTTCCAGTATCTTAGATCTCACACTTTTAGATGCAAGTAACTGCATATACATGATTTTTCTTTTCTTTCTTTTTAGCGTATTTACTCAATTTTACTTGAAAGTCATGACTGAAACATGGAATAATCTCTTCATAATTCATTTCTAATTATAACCTTAAACTATTTAGAGAGTCACACAGTTCAGTAAAAAACAAAAAACTGACAGTTTTAATCCAAAGATACTTTAAATTATTTTATTTCATCTTTGAACATATTTTTCACCACTTATCTCACAATCTGCTGAGTGCTATTTTTCTTACTCTCATTTTTTGACAGTTTCTGTACATACCAAATGAAACTCAAAAAGGTTGAGATTGAAAAAAAAAAACTGTTATCGCAGTACCTAACAATTTTTCCCAGCAGAAAAAGAGACAAAATTGTGCTTTAAATGTCAACTAGTAATAAAACATGCTAGTTATGCATATGTGAGACTCAAGAAACAGAGAAAACATCCCATAATAATTCAAAAATAAAATCATTGATAAACAGAAAACTAATCAATTAGATAAAACATTTAAAATATTACAGAGCCCCCATGTGCATTATACAATTTTGTAAATCTGTTCATATCATTAATTTTATATATTATATAGCTTATTGTAGGTAAAGTGCTTGTGATGGCATCCATATATGTATATAAATCTAATTTAAAGTAGAAGTGAAGCAATAGAAGTATTAGGGGAAAGAAAACAATTTGAAATAGCAATTTATTTTCTAGATAAAAGATATAAACTACAACCTATATTTGACGTGAGTATATCAAAATCTTTCCTCAGATTTGGACTGAAGACTGAGTTGTTACTTGCAGGCCTGGTTATAGTGCAAAGGAAACCCAATAAAAATTGTAGCACTATACTTGTTATAGGTCTTTTTCTTTAATAAGTATGGATTTTGGAATATTGATAAAATTTACAGGTTGTAGGTAAGAAACTGTTACCCCAAAGATAATACAAGTATATTTTTTCCCAAGTGAATTTGTTAGCTTTAATTTGCTAGACAGAATAGTATGATTAATGAAATTAGAAATAGCATTGATTCCTGGTCATTGTCATACTTGACTTGACAGTAAAGAGTTTAAAACATGGTGGGAAATATTTGTATATGTACTTAAAGAAAATGAACTTTGGCACATCAAGTTTATTAAAATTTAGGCAATTTATATCCCAGAGCATTGTACACACTTAGGTCAATTCACAAATACCAAATCTCTGCTAGTCAATGTATTACCATAATTCATAAAGGCAATTTTTCCTAATTTTAGCTGCTTTTGGTACAGAATATATTCAAAAAAAAAGTTTAAGAGGGCATTAAATCCAAAAGGAACTTCACTGTCAGTGTTATAGTGAAATGATTTCAATACCACGTATTTTAAAAGAGAAATGTAGCTATTCTTTTTATAATTTCAAGGCATCACTATTGAATTACATGTACTTAGCAAGTATGATATGAAAAAATAGCTTTTTATATTGTGAATAACTTTTCCAGGAAAAAATAAAAAGGGGGGATATTTGTTTAAAGGTAAACCAGTAATAAAGCATTGATTTCTATGCATATGTCTCTCAAAAACAGCACATAAAATTATTGAGATAAACATTCATTGATAGTTGAGAACTACAAAAATTTCTATAGTTTAAAAAATTAAAGTCATCATGTATAGACAGTATAGATTTGGACACCTTGCTATAATTTTTGCAGACTCTTTTTCTTCCTGTTTTATCAACACTTAAATTGACCAAATACAAAATCAAAATGTCAAATATCTGTTTTCCAGCATTACTGGAAACAAATACAACTACGACATGGAGCAGCTTAGCTTCACAAAGAGAACAGACTAACATTGGTATAATAATTAGAAGATATTTAACGTTCAATTACATCATACTAAGTTTGGGGAAATAACAGTTCAAACATGAAATTAGTTGTCTTGAAAATTAAAAAAAAATTCGTAAAGAAGATTATGATTGTTCCACAAATATGATATATAATGTATATTAATAGCGAAGATTTTTTTTCACATTTATAGCAACTAGGTTAGCAAAGATTTAATGGTGGAGAGAAGCACTGAGTATGAAGTAAATTCATTCATCCATTTACTAAGGATGTAAATTTACTACTGAGAGTAAAAGATGACTATGATCTGACATCTGTCCTTAAGAAGAATATCACATCTTTGTTGTTTCAGATACTTACTTAATACTGACTAATTGCATTCTCCTCTTCATCCAAGTCTTAACTCAGTTCCAGGTTTTACCTCTTTTGGCAAACCTTCTCTGATTTCCTTGGGACAGGTTTGTGATCCTACAGAGTGATCATAGAGTAGTATGCTCTCTACATTTCTAGAATAACAAGCACTGTGTTTTGTAATTTTACTTGGCTCTCCAACTAGATTCAGTAAACACTTAAGAGACATACCATTAATTTCTGGTATCCTACCTTCTTAGCCCACTGTCAGTGCTTCTAAAATTTAATAGTCATATAAATAACCCTTGGATCATTTGAAAATACAGATTCTGATTCAGTATTTGTGGGATATGGACTGAAATTCCCCATTGCTGTTATGATGTTGATGTGCTGATCTGCTCATCTGTGGACCACAATTTTAATATCAAGTTAGTAGATGTTATTAAATTACCAATCATTTAAAGATTTACAAAAATAAGAGATAAAGAATATTAATATTTAGTGGGAAATTAGTTAGAAGATACTAGACAGCTTAGTAATGCCAAAAACCAAGACAAAATGACCTCCAGGAGCTAGAAAATGGTCAGACAAAAAGAAGTTTATATAGCTTACTGTAGCAAGGAATTTAAATACTAGCAGAACCATTTGGAAAGTTTATAGGATTTGAGCAATTTTACATTGTAAGTCTAAAGAAGATTTAAATATGTAAAGGTAAGATATGAATGAGATTCAATAAAACTCTTTCCACTTCTTATGATTTGTGTAAATGTCTTCACAATACAATGGGTAAAATACCAGAGTAAGTGTAATCTTTTAACACCCATTCATTGAGCAAATATTTATTGAGTGTCTGCTAAGTGCCAAGATGTTGTCTAGACTAGACATGTGTCAAACACCAGTGAGATCTCTGCCCTCATGAGGAAACAGTGAATGAAAACAAGCAAATAAATAAATGAGTATTAATGTAGTATCAGGTAATGATGAACAACACTACAGAAATTAATTCAACATAAAAACAAGAGAAACTCAATAGCTATTTTAGAGAGCAGGCTTCTCTTTTAGGGAACAGTAGGCAGACACCTGCATGATATAAAGAACTCATTTACAACGATCTGAAGTGCAAGTGTTCCATGCTGGAGAAGCAGTTTGGTCAAAGACCTTGGTCTAGAAGCAAGTTTGTTGTATTTTAATAACATTGAGAAAGTGAATTTGATAGGAATAGTGTGAGCAAGGGAGAGGTCCAAGCCTGAACATTTCTAGGGAATTTGTGGAGCACAGTAAGGAGTTTAGACATTAATATAGAAACAATGGGAATCCTTTGGATAAATATAAACAAAAAATAGCATGAATTGTGTTAGGGAAAGGTAAGTATTTACTTATCTAACTGCAGAATCTGGGAGGAAGAGAATGAATAAAGGGAGTAGTCTAAATTAGGTGTCAGGAAAATACAGACACCAAACCAAATCCAGCACACAGCCTGTTTTTACAAAGTGATGAACTAAGAATTGTTTTTATATTTTTAAGTGGTCACATAAGTAGAGACAGTCCTCATTTCTCATGGATTCCATATTTGCAAAGTTGGCTACTCACTAAAATGTATTTATAACCCCAAAATCTATACTGGAGGCACTTTAGCAATCATCAGCAGATGTGCACACATACAGAGCTGCAGAAGATTGAGTTGTCCTGTTAGCATGTTCCCAGCT